CCGGCGGCGGCGGCGGCGGCGGGAGGAGGCCGGGGGGGAGAGGGAGAGAAGGGGGGAGGAGGAGGACGTATGGCGTCATAGCCCGGCGCCGCCGCCATCATGAGGAGGGCGAGGGCCGCCGCGGGCGGGGCCGCCATGTGCGGGAGGTCGGGGCGGCGGAGGGGCTGAGGGAGGAGGAGGAGGAGGCGGCGGTGGGGAGCCGAGCAGGGTTGGGATGGGGGGGGTGCCCCACCGGCGCCATGTTGGGGAGGTCGCGGCGCTTCTCCCCCGCGGGGAGTAGGGGCGCGGAGGGGACGAGGGGGCGTCGGCGCCATCTTGGGGAGGTCGCGGCCCGTTCTCTTTCCCCCTCGGCCAGGAGGTGCGAAAGGGCTTCGGGCGGCAGAGCCCTGAGGGGACCGCGGGCCGGGCAGGGGGACCCCGCTTGGGCCGGGCTGGACGTGGCTCTTCAGCTGAGGGGGCTGCGGTGATAATCGGGTTTTTCTGTGGAAAAAGGGTGTTTAAAACCATCCCAGCCTGGGCTACGCTGGACCCGGCACCTCAGCTGAGGGAGCTGCACTCACAATTATGTTATTCTGTGGAAAAAGCCCCTTTAAAACCATCCCAGCCTGGGCTACACTGGACCCAGCACCTCAGCTGAGGGGGCTGCGGTGATAATCCCGTTTTTCTGTGGAAAAAGAGTGTTTAAAACCATCCCTGCCCGAGCTACGCTGGACCCGGCACCTCAGCTCAGGGGGCTGTGGTGGTAATCGGGTTTTTCTGTGGAAAAAGGGTGTTTAAAACCATCCCAGCCTGGGCTACGCTGGACCCGGCACCTCAGCTGAGGGAGCTGCACTCACAATTATGTTATTCTGTGGAAAAAGCCCCTTTAAAACCATCCCAGCCTGCGTTGTGCTGGACCTGGCACCTCAGCCAGGCGGGCTGCAGTCACAACCCTGGGGTTTTGGGGGTTTTTTTTGGTAGAAAAGCACCGTTTTAAACCATCCCAGCCTGCTGCTGGGCCACGGCTTTCCCGCCTGCACACCGCTGCGTTTTGGTGGCGAGCGAAACAACCGCCCTGGTGGTTTTGGGGTAGGAGAAACTGTGTTGCTGAGCTAATCTGGGGTTTAAAAAAAAAAAAATAATAAAAGATCAAAATAACACGTTGAGAGGCCAGCGGGGTGTGTGAGGGGCCATCTGTTTGTAGCTGTAAATCTTTGCCCGCTCCCGGCGAGGGCCGCTGGCGCAAAGCAGCTGTGGCTCCTGCGAAACTTGGTCTGTGGCCACGGGGACGGGCGTCCCTTCTGCACACAAGAAACCGGCGATAAGACCAGCTCAGCAGACTCGGATCGCCTGCTTTTTTTGCCCTGAACGCAGTCCCCAAAGCCTCCCGTTTCCACTGTGGGTATCGATGAACTGAACTCAGTTTTAGCCACACTAATTACCCTTCCCGGTATATGGAAGCTAGTGATTTCTTCTATTATTGTATTAGAGCTCAGAGACATTTATTCGGATCGTGGCCTTGTTCTGGGGGAAGGTGTTTGTGTTTGAAGGCTGTCACTGTCCCCAAGCAGCCTGGGGTTTTCAACAGGAACCTAAAATACAGAGGAGGAGGATTTAAAACACAGAGATGACAGAAATGATAAAAAAATGGGTATAAATCCGTGTTTTGTACGACTGAGTCTTAAGATGGGACTTGACGTCTGATGCACTGAAGCTGTCAATTTTAAGATGTTTTCCCCACACCTAAAGAATGACATTAAAAATACAATGAGAACAGGTACTAGGGGAAGAATTAACAGAGGATGGCTAAGAGCAGCCTGGAAAGCAAAAATAATTTTCAGTAATATTCCTTCATTAAGGATCTTATGTATTTATTTTATACTCTGTGCTAAAGATCTGACGGATCAAAAATTCAATAAACTTTTATATTAGAGTAATCGTAGTTTTATTTTTCTTGGCGTAAAACGTATGCGATTTGTTTCATTTCAGGACATCAGCCTACCATCTGTGCCTGGTAGAAACCTCTTCCGTGGGTATGTCATTGTACTCAAAATGATAAATTTTTTTGTCGTTATAGTAATATCTACTGCTGGGATTTTACAGGTTCCCTCGAAGCATGCAGTACCAGTCCCTGTAAAAGGGGATGCGTCCTACGTTCCTGCCAGCTCACAGCACTCTGCAAATTTACTGAGAGTCAGGCAAATACAGAAAATGCCGAAATAACTTCATCTGATGACGGCGTGAATGTCATCTCAGCCCGGAGACTCAACCACTCTTGAGTTTGGGATGCCCTGGATTTCTGTCGTCGGCCTCCTGTAGGTATGAAATGTGGATCTGGGCCAGATGATGACTTGCTGAGATGAATGTAGCTTTCCCTGCAGAGCCGTGAAGGTGTTTTGGCTGGGGTTTGCTGCTCCATGGAGACGAAGGAAGGTCTTGCCAACGGAGGCAGACGTGTGGAGGCAGCTGATGCGGACTGTAACGGCAGTGGAATTCCCTTGTGCTAATCAGCAGTTTTGGAGCAGGGCCACAAGCCCAGAGACCTGGGACCGTGCCACCCTGGCAGGCCTGGTATAACCCACAGTGACCCAGCATCTCCGCAGGAGGAAGGTCGCTTCCTTTCACATTCGAAGGTAGATTTTAGATGATCCACCAAGAAAATTTCATAATGGTAGGTTGTGATAATACTGGAAAAGCTTTGGGACGCTCTGGAGTCTCCCCTGTTGGAGGTTTTAAGAACAGGTTGGACAGAATACCGCTCAGGAATGCTGTAGGGAGAGTTGCTCCTGCCTCGGGGAGCGGGATGGATGACATGACGTTTCAGGGTCCCGTCCAGGTGCATATTTTCAAGGCCACATGTTGCTAATGGCTTTGGAATAGGCAGAGCAACCCATGGGCTCGTGAAAGCGCACATTTATGAGTCAGTGGCTGTTGAGTGTGCTGGGTCTGTGGCTGGCACACATGCTCATTCCTTCTCCACCCCTCTCAAAGTGCTTTTAGCTACGTGAAGACTGCCCACAGGACAGGGAACACCATGGACGTTCATTTGGGATGTACCAGAAAGGTCCTCCAGAGAGGCAGCATTTCCCAGTAGGAACAAACTAACTCTCTTTGAGAATCAGCACGTGTCTCCCCATGTTCTCATGGAAATCCAGACTGCATTGTGTCATAGACCGATAATCCTACGTGAAAAGGGTTGGGAAAAGACTTACTTGTGAGTATAAATGTGCATTTGGCCTGCAGAAGGGTAGGCAGCCTGGCTTCCACTCCCATGGAATGCCAGGGGCTGGTTAGGACATGCCGTATCCGGCATTCGGGAAAAGATGGGGGAGGAACAATGATGCACGGTGGGGAAAGGGAGCTCTGAAAGGTTTACCTGTCCACATCCTGGGTTTGGGAAGAGAAAACATGGAAGGAATAACAGGAGGAGAACGTTATCAAGTTCCCAGCTGGATGTGTGGGCTTAGATGCTGTGAGGCTGTGGGAAAGAGGTCAGAAGACTCTACAGGCTGTTTTAGCAGATCACCTCGTCTTTGGTTGGTGTCTTCTGGGGCAGAAAAAGAAACAGGATGAGTAACAGGGAAAGGATTACCTGGAAAAGATGCACAGGGAAGCATAAGGGGACTGGGAGTGCCCGGGTCAATTACCTGGTGCTGCTTTGTAACACGGGTGGGTTATTAACAGCAGCGTAAGTGGCTTTGGCCAACAGCCTTAGACAGGTCCAGCCTGAAAATGCCACCAGCCTTGGGTCACTAATTTTTTTTGTGTTTTCAGGTGCCATGGCAGGGTCTGTGCACAAATAAAGAGCCCTAGGTCAGGCTGCAGTGAAGACTTCTGTGGAATCATCGAATTGTCCAGGTTGGAAGGGAACCTTTAAGATCATCTAGTCCAACCATCAACCTCACTCTGATCAGAAAGTTTGCAAGTGTGAAAAAAATACTATTGACTTTTAGGGACCACAGAGAGAGATGAGGTTTTCATAAGCGGATGAGAGACATGCCCTTGGTAGCGTGTTTAGCACATCTCATAGACCAGGTCAACCCAACTCATAGGTCCTATCAGCTAAGCCAATGTAGGCAGGAGAGATGTCTTCAAAAAGTGTTTCAAAGACACAGGTGTAGCTTTAGGACTTCCTGAACACACCAACCCTCTCTTATTTTAAGACAACAGACGTTAGAACAAACAAGGATCTCTTACCTTGCTGGGTTTATGTGGGAAGGCTGATCTCTGGCATGCTGGAGATGAAGGAGCTGCACGTGGTCGTGCGGCAGAAGACATGTTCCCTGGCAGCAATTCTCTCCAGGCTCTGCTTGCCACAAAATGTCCTGGCTGCCTCAGAGTTAAAACATCTGCTGCCTCTTGGCACTTCTTGGCTGCCTGCGCTTGCAGGCAATGGAAGAGGAATCCTCTTGGCATCTCGTATCATCAGGGGGGAAAAAGCGGATGGGTCTTTTTTGCTTCTTGGCTGCCTGCGCTTGCAGGCGATGGAAGAGGTGGAATCCTCTTGGCATCTCGTATCATCAGGGGGGAAAAAGCGGATGGGTCTTTTTTTTTTTTTCTTTCAAATGGAGTTTTTATTCTTATCTTAAGGTCACAGAAGAGAAAAGTAGCTGATCGGCCCGCTATGCTGTAAACAAAACACCCTCATGATTTAGTAGAACTGAGCAGTTTATGAACGTTCACTGAAGGGGGTAAAACTACGGACACCCCTGCTTGGCCTTTTCCTGCTCTCCCTCGTTTTTGGATTAAAAAAGAATTGCATCCATTGCTTTCCTTTAATGTGAGTCTTTGCAACAGCAGTTGTTCACTGATGTGCAATAAACCAGATTTGCACAGCTCATAAAGAGCCGGGCTGGTTTTCATTACTCGAGGGAGAAGGTTGATAGTGCAATGAGTTTGTTGTAAGTAGCCTCGATTGGGCCCTGCCCTCCCACAGCTCATCTGCAGCCAGATGACACCAAAGCTGGGGCTGAGTTTTGGGAGGATTCCTGTGGTGAAAAGCTCTCTTCTAGTTTGTGCAGTCACCAAAATTTACACAGGTGCAGTGGTTCGGGAGAGCTGCTGCTGGTGGGATAGTGGATTCCTGCAGCATCCCCCCTCCACAAATAGGCTTTTCTGGTCTTCCATCTGAATGTCCTCTCACTTCAATTTAGATCCTTACACCTAGTTCTCCACCTTTGTGGACGCTCCTCAGATATTTTCAGCTTATTTTCACTTTTTTTTTTGATCAAATACAGGTTGGCCAAGTTCTGCATACACTGATCTTGCTGTTTTTTCTGCGCGGAGCATCTAAAGTTGTCTGGTGTTGCAGAAGCTGAAGATAACACATGATTAGCTTTAGAATTGTCCAATTTGGAAGGGACCTTTAAGATCATCCTGTCCAACCATCAACCTAACTCTGATAAAAAGCCATCACTAAACCATGTCTCTAAGCACTATGTCAACCCATCTTTTAAATACTTCCATGAATGGTGACTCCAACACTTCCCTGGGCAGCCCAATGGCGACTCCACCACTTCCCTTGGCAGCCCATTCCAAGGCTTAATAACCCTTTCAGGGTAAAAAATTTTCCAAATATCCAATCTGAACCTCCCCTGGTGCAACTTGAGGCCATTTCCTCTTGTCCCATCACTTAGGATTTGGGAGAAGAGACCGACCCCAGCTTTGCCAATATCAGAGAGAGGAGGAGGCATTTTCCCATAGAATTCCAGTTTTCCGTGCTTATTATTATTTAACACATTTCCTCTCTTTCCCAGATTGACAGTACTTCTGTGAAAAGGCACCTCCAGAGCATTTTTTCTCTATTTCAGGTTCAGCATCACAAGAGCCATCTCAGTTTCCAGAGTGGCCTCACTGGGCTCTGATGCCGTAACTGCAGAATTTACCCTTTTTTTATAGCCCTTTGGCATCACCACCCAGAGCCAGCTTCCGCTCAGAACTGCACCAGTGCCAAACCCCAGTATGGAAAGCAATCAGGGAATCAACAGTTAATTTCAAGATTTGTTTTCTTGGATGGTAATAAGTTATTTTAGGGCTTTGCTGCCTATTTTTGAAGTTCTGGTTTGGATATTCACCTGGACCAGCAGTGCTTCCAGGCAGCCTTGAGCCTCCAAACATTTCCCTTAGTAGCAGGGAGGGTTATGGTGGAAAGGGGATCTGTGCTATGGACTCTGAAGACCTTGATTCTCTCATCAGCAGGGAGAAAGATCACATGGTGTGAAGATCTAGAAGGTCCCCAAGACTGGGGCTGAGACCCTTGTTTTGGTGTACGATTATACAATAAAATGGGGTCTGGATGTGCAGCAGCACAAGCCATACGTGACGTGTCTTGGGGACTTGTGGTTCCTCTTCTGCAGCAACCAGTAACCAAAAGCAGTCTGGATTTCGGGCTTACCCTGCAGCAGCTGGCTTCTTCGCTGCTTCTAATAACTAGTGATTAATTGTTTCTGTTCTGCCAGTACCCAGAGTATTTAGAAATAAAAGACGGCAGCGCTGGATGAGCGCCATTCTCTCATCTCTGCGAAACAGCAGGAACAACTACTGAGAGAGAATGGCACGTAAGAGCCCACTTAGGCTATTATGGATGGCTTTCCGGTGCCCATTGCCATGTTCCTTGCAGCTAAGCACCAAACTACAGTAGGATTTTATGGCAAAACCAGTTAATGGGGAGACAAAGATGAGACAGTGAGAAAGGAAGAAACGAGCAGGGAACTTGTTGGCAGAAAGGCTTCCCTCTCCCGTCCCCACAGTTTGCCTAAAGCTTATTTTCAAAAGACACTGGTGAAGATTTAATTATTTTTTTTAATAACTTCTTAGGACAGAGGTAACCTGCTTGTGACTCAAGTATCTAATTTCCGTGCTGAGGCTTGTCCTGTGGTGTGTTGCTGCTGGAGCGCCCAGTAATCATAGAATGGTTTGGGTTGGAAGGGACCTCAAAGATCATCGAGTTCCAACCCTCCTGCCATGGGCAGGGACACCTCCCACCAGACCAGGTTGCTTCAAGCCCCATCCAACCTGGCCTTGAACCCCTCCAGGGATGGGGCATCCACAGCTTCCCTGGCCAACCTGGGCCAGGCTCTCACCACCCTCACAGTGAAGAATTTCTTCCTAATATCATAGAATCATAGAATGGTTTGGGTTGGAAGGGACCTCAAAGATCATCTAGTTCCAACCCCCCTGCCATGGGCAGGGACACCTCCCACTAGACCAGGTTGCTCAAGGCCCCATCCAGCCTGGCCTTGAACACCTCCAGGGATGGGGCATCCACAACTTCCCTGGGCAACCTGTTCCAGTGTCTCACCACCCTCAGAGTAAAAAATTTCTTCCTGAGATCTAATCTGAATCTTTTTTCTTCCAATTTAAAACCCTTTCCCCTTGTCCTACCATTACACCTCCTGGCAAAGAGTCCCTCCCAGTCCTTGCTTGTGGGACAGAGCTGGCAGGGGTGGCTGTGGCCAGACCCAACTTGGCAACCTAGTCCCAGGGTGACACCTCAACGCCACGGGCTGTAGCGTAAAGCGCTTCCACGTGCCTTTTGCAACAGGGGCTGCGAATCTGCTCATTGCAAGATGCTTCTTCAGGTCTGATCTGCTTTTCTTAGGGAAATAAATTCCCCGAGCCGTCACCGAAGACTGATTACACCAGGTTGGGTATTTATAATTTGCTTTTCTTCGTTACTGGAGGCAATTTTGCCTGAACTACGTAAGAGGCAAGGCGGTTTTCCCCTGGCTGGGCCAGCCGTCTGAAGGCAATTACGCTGGGCTATAATTAGCTGGAGTGAGCAGGGCTGAGTTTACGACTGTGCGGGAGCGATAAGCTCACGACGGCTGCGCTTCCTCTCCAAGGAACTGTCTCACTCCCCTCCTCTGCCTCCGAGACACCACCGGGCTGAAGTCAAGGAGGTATTTTTGTTCTCTGAACAGGGATGAGTGCCCAAGAGGCGCAGGCCGGATGGTTTCCTTTTAATGAAAGATTAGACAAAATATCCCACACAATTTTACCCTCCTCATCTCCAAGACACTGGAGTCGCAAGAGTTTTCAAGTTTTCCGATACCCCTTTTTATGGCCTTTAGCCCAAATTCCGTAGGACCCCCAAGCCATATTGGTTTCCCTGGACTCATCACTTCGTGAAGAACTTCCCTTTTTTGAATCCACGCTAAATTTGAATTTGCTTTTTCAGGAAAAATCTTACAACAAATCACAGAGAGTTGGATAAATCTCTCTAGACGTTCCTCTACCTAAACAAGACACCTGGTGCTGCTTTAAGCCTCTGCACACATTTGATCAGAGGAATCACATCCTGAACCACTCTAGATATGAATCTAGACGACTGCGCCAGGCGTTGATGCAGATGTTTAGACTTAGGGGATATTAATCCCACGAGTCTCAGTTTTATGACTCTGGTGTAGCAACACGTGAGAAGAAAAACTGCAGGTCAGAGGTGTTAATTGTCACCTTGTGCCGATGAAGCGGTAGCATTGTGAAGCAGGGAGGAAAGCAACGAGAATAACAGGTTTAAGAAACATAATGTAGGAATGAAAGGCTGAAAGTAGTGTATTAGAAGAGGAGGCTCCGGGGAGACCTAATAGCGGCCTTCCAGTACCTGAAGGGAGCTACAGGAAGGCTGGGGAGAACCTGTTTAGAAAGGCCTGCAGTGACAGGACGAGGGGCAATGGCTTCAAGCTGGAGGGGAACAGATTTAGACTGGAGATGAGGGGAGGGTTCTTCACTGTGAGGGTGGTGGAGCACTGGAACAGGTTGCCCAGGGAGGTGGTTGAGGCCCCTTCCCTGGAGATATTCAAGGAGAGGCTCGATGAGGCCCTGGGCAACCTGGTCTGGTTGGGGGTGTCCCTGCTGACTGCGGGGAGGTCGGACTAGATGACCCTTGGAGGTCCCTTCCGGCCTGGGCAATTCTATGAGTCTATTTCTTATCCTAAAGAGCTGAAAGGAAGGAATTTTAAGAGAAAGGAGGTGCAACGATGCTCTCTTCATAGAAGATCATTTTCAAGGCAGTGATGAACTGAGGGTTATGACTACTGCTAAAGCTCAGGACTAGCACAACTCTGCCCTCTGGGAACAGTCCTGGGGCTGAACGACCCTGGGACATTTCAAGGGACACTGAGAATCTCACCCGAGACACCCCCAGGAGGTCGCCTCTCTGAAATCTCACAAACTATTAAAACTGCTTTGATCTCCTCTTCCAAGTAATCTCGCAATGCCAGGTTGTGGAGAACTTTTAAGACCTGCCAAGGCATTGCAGCAGCCCCTAACTGTGGTTCTAGGCAAAAAAAAAAGCAAAGTATCAGCTGCCAGTGTAAGAGCTCGAAGTGTTTCTTACTCTGTTATCTGCTTTCTGGTGATGGCAGCAGAACTGATGCAAGCCACGTGCATAAGACAATGCAAAAAGGATGAGGAATCAATAAAAGCATTTATACTTCTAAGAAAACAGAGTTACTCCTTGGGCAGTCCCCAGAGGGCAAGCTATAATTATCAGGTACTCCTGAAATATTATGTCTATTTTCAGAAGGTGCCAGGCTTTATCCTGCGATAAAGTATCTCAGGAGCCAAAACAACAGGTGACAGAAGGAGGACTCTTGCTTTCAAGGACGCCATTTCAGGCCATCTCATTTGAGATGTCCCGTGTTTAAAGTCTCTTTCAAGTGTGTTGACCATATCACCACTAAGAAAACCCATGAAAAACCCAGCTGCGATAATTATTGTAACTAGTTGCTTACCCAGTACAACCCAAATCCAAATACCAGTTTTGTAGCTTCTGGTTTAACATCTCAGTATGGATGGAGGCGTCTTCTCCAAGGCTGGTTATCTTCATACTTCACAGAACAGGCACTTCCTATTAAATGATGTGGGAAAAAGGCCCCCAAGAGACGTGTGACCTGTTGGAATGTCATCAAGACATCAAGGTGATGTCATCAAGAGATGTTGGACCTGTTGGAAAAAGATTTTCTGAAGTTAGATGTAATTTTCAATTTGCACTTAACAGCATTAAGTATTTTTGCTTTCTTATAGCCTGTGTACTTGGGTCTACCTGTTAACATTAAAGAAGGGCTTCTTTTTAGATGGTAGGAGCACTTGACCTATCGCTTGCAATTGCAGCAAGTAAAAAATATTCTAACATTCAGCAGTAATTGCAGGTGAAATTTTAAAGCATTTAGTTCAAGAACCACCAAAGAGCAAACTGCTCCCTTCATGACATATAATCAGGGCCATTCCAAGGAAGCTGTGGTAACCATGTGTTGCAGTCAATATTTCCCTCATTTTTCATAACATTTCTCTCTTTTAGTGCCAGTTACAGCTAGAAGACAATTGGGAGAAACGCTGATACTGAGCCAGTCCTTTGCATAAAAAAGATTTCACACTCAGTTTACTTTAGCTTAGTCGTGAATAGATCACAGCGTAACAGTAAATTTAAAAAAGTCCCTTTTGGTTGTGTTTCTCCTGAAATATAGCAATAACCCAGAAGGAACACTGCAGACTTAAAAGGACTATATTTTATTTTAAAAGAATGAAATATTTCTTACCTTTACAAAATTACGTGCAGTCTGAACCAAAAAAAAAGTCAAGGAAAAAGGTATTTTCTCCTCAGGATTCTGATATGACTAACCTGTGGTCTGAGGCTGTCAGGGTGGGAGGCTCTGTAAACTTCCTCTAAGGGGACATCAAAAGTATCTTCAAGAAGCAGGACTCCTGAATTCACTGAATACCACCAGAAAACTACCACTAACTGGATAATTATATCATAGAATGGTTTGGGTTGGGAGGGACTTTAAAGATTATCTAGTTCCACCCTCCCTGCAGTGGGCAGGGACACCTCCCAGCAGACCAGGTTGCTCAAAGCCCCATCCAACCTGACCTTGGACTTTTCCTAGGATATAAATATTTAACATTTAATGTAACAAAACCCATCCCAGTATCTGAAATGGAAGAGCTCAATGTTGGGGAGGCTCTGTAAGCTTCCTCTAAGGGGACATCAAAAGTATCTTCAAGAAGCAGGACTCCTGAATTCACTGAATACCACCAGAAAACTACCACTAACTGGATAATTATATCATAGAATGGTTTGGGTTGGGTTACTGGGTAATTATATCATAGAATGGTTTGGGTTGGGAGGGACCTTAAAGATTATCTAGTTCCACCCCTCCTGCAGTGGGCAGGGACACCTCCCAGCAGACCAGGTTGCTCAAAGCCCCATCCAACCTGACCTTGGACTTTTCCTAGGATATAAATATTTAACATTTAATGTAACAAAACCCATCCCAGTATCTGAAATGGAAGAGCTCAATGTTGGCAGGTGTCGTGGTACCCAGACTGCACATCTCAGAGAGCAACCATTTCTGTAAGTTCTAATCTTTTGTTCCTTCTGGTCTTTTGTATGACACTTACTAGCAAGAGAGAGAGAAAAAAAAAATCACTTGTACCTTTTTAACATAAAGCTTGGAAGAGGTTTATAAAAAAAGACAATAAAGTTGGAGTCTCTGTTCCTGGAGGACATCTGTAATGGCAGTGGGGACCCAAGACAGTGAAAAATGAGCAAATGGGACAGGAGTGAACCTACTGAAAATTTAAATTTATTTACTTCTGCTGACACTATTTAGTACCAACATCTAATATGCCTTTTGGATGAAAACTTTTCTTTAAGAATTCACCATAGTAACCTCTTCATTCTGGAGATACCATTTTAGAGCAAAAGAGGCCCCTGAAGTTGGGAAACAGCAGCCAGGTTATTTCTTAAAATAAGAAATGAGAGAAAAAGGACAAATGCCACTTCTCAAGTCTTTCTTCAAAACCCACAAGGCTTTTCTTAATGTGAAAAGAAAGGACCAGGTTGGATGGGGCTTTGAGCAACCTGGTCTGGTGGGAGGTGTCCCTGCCCGGGGCAGGGGGTTGGAACTGGATGATCCTTAAGGTCCCTTCCAACCTGAACCATTCCATGATTCTATGAAAAACAATGTTCTAGGAGATAGCAGGAAATACAGAAACGCTGTCTGAAGGGAAGAGTAAAGAAAGGAAGCTGCTTGCGTACAGCTTGAAATATTCTATTACCAAAAGTTGTGAATAATATCTTTTTTTAAACTTTTTCGATATATTTATAGCCATCACTCACATCATGTAGGTGTCCCGTGACTCTCCCCTCCCCACCACTCTGCCCCACCCACAAACATGCACATCATCATCATCATCATCATCCAGTGTATTTTTATCCGCCCGGTTTTTGGTCTACAACTTCCTGCAGGAAACCTTAACCTCTTGTGCTCGGAGCGTCACGCTGTGCCTGATCTGCTCAGTAACTGAGAAATGAAGCCCTGATAGTAAAAAAAAATGTCACTCCCAGCAAGAGATGACACAAAAAGCACCACGAAGTCCCCCTTGCGCTGTGCTCGTAAAGCAAATGGCCTCTCCAGGTTGCAGTCCCCCCTCCAAAGATTCTTGGATTTGAGCTTTATTCATCATAAACTCAGCTTCTAAGTTCTGCACCCCAAGGAGGCGGAAAAAAGCCCGTCAGAGAATCAAAATCTTACAGATTGTGATAAAATGGAAATACCTGCAAGTGTCATCCCGCAGAAGAGACTCCCCGTAAAGTCACATCCACCGGAGCCAAAGGCTTTCCCTTACAAATCAGCAGCGCAGCCTGCAGCTCTCTTAAACACATTCAAATAGAGAATTGAGCCATTTAAAATCCAAACTTCTCTTTAAAGCTGTCTGTTGGTCTGTATTAACCACCAGGGAGCCCAAATTACATGCAGAATTGAGATGGATCAAGGCATGAGAGACATAAAAGGGAAAAAGGGGGGGTGGGGGGAAGTGTTTAATTTTTCAGTTTGGGATGGTTGGAAGGGTTTTCTCATCTGTTGTTAAAGAAATGAATGGCAACTTTTCAGATATGCTAGAAAGCAGAGTTTTTGTCCTTTGCACTTTGCTGCTCACCATCTGCCGTGCCCAATTGCATCACGTAGAAATCAGATTTATTTTTATTTTTTAAGGAGAAGACACATAGCGATATTTCACTATTTGTTCCGGTAATTTTTTGCATACTAAAAACTTTGCTTTGGAATCTTTAAATCATTGTATTTCTGGTCTATCATGGATGTGAAATGGCTTTGCTTACTTGTAGCCGTGGTATGGGATGAGACCAGTTGCCCGTCCTGCGTGGCACGCTGCCTCCCATGCTGGTCCCATAACTGCTGCTTCGGAGGAAACCTGGATAGATACCTGGAAAATAAGTGGCCCAGAAGGAATTTCCTTCCTCTCTACACCCTCCTCTACAACTCCCTGAAAGGAGGGTGTAGAGAGGTGGGGGCCGGTCTCTTCTCCCAAGTCACAGGCGACAGGACAAGAGGAAATGGCCTTAAGTGGCACCAGGGGAGGTTCAGGCTGGATATTAGGAACAATTTTGTCACTGAAAGGGTTCTCAGCCATTGGAATGGGCTGCCCAGGGAGGTGGTTGAGGCCCCATCCCTGGAGGTGTTCAAAAGACGGGTTGATGTAGTGCTGGGAGGTCTGGTTTAGTGATGATGCTCCTTGTTTGTTGTGTGGGTGTCTATTTTTGTCAGTTAGGTTGACGGTTGGACAAGATGATCTTGAAGGTCCCTTCCAACCTAGAAGATTCTGTGATTCCCCAAACACCTGCTCTGTGGGCAATGGCTGTTACACTGGGTCTTTGTCTTGGCAGGAGATTGCACTGGTCTTCAGCTTCTGCAAACTGGCCCCAGAACCCAAACAGACAGAGATGGTGGGGGCTGCCCCATCACGTTAAGCAGTTCCTGCCTCAGTGCTTGGAAACATCTGTCCCTTAAAGCGCTGTGTAGTAAATCTGTCACCCAAAAAGGGAATGATTTTTTTTTAATTTTTTTTTTTTCAATTTTTTTTTTTCATGGAATCGTAGAATGGTTTGGGTTGGAAGGGACCTTAAAGATCATCTTGTTCCAACTCCCCTGCCCTGGGCAAGGACACCTCCCACCAGACCAGGTTGCTCCAAGCCCCCTTCAACCTGCCCTTGAACCCCTCCAGGGATGGGGCAGCCACAGCTTCTCTGGGCAACCTGGGCCAGGCTCTCACCCCCCTCACACCAAACAAGTTCTTCCCCACATCTCATCTCCATCTCCCCTCTTTCAGGGTCAAACCCTTCCCCCTCCTCCTATGGCTCCCCTCCCTGATCAAGAGTCCCCCCCCATCTCTCCTGGAGCCCCTTGAGGGACTGGAAGGGGCTCCAAGGTCTCCTCAGATCCTTCTCTTCTTCAGGGTGAACCCCCCCAACTCTCTCAGCCTGTCCCCTCCAGCCCTCCCAGCATCTCCATGGCCTCCTCCAGACCCTTTTAACATTTAGCTCAAGACACTAAATAAAGAGATCACCAGGGATCTCTTGCTTTACAAGCTGATACTTGGAGGAAGTAGTTGCAAGTCTGTGCCGTGACCAGAGACTTCCTGGTGGGTGATGGGGAAGCGAGAACACGAGTAAATGCTGAGGAAGACAAGGCAATGCACAAAGTAGAACAAACTGGTGCTGCGAACCACATCTCTGATTCAGCAGAATGTGCCAGCAGCAGATTAATTAGCAAGGAAACGGGATACCCACCGTGATTTTCTTGACACGTAGATGAAACAAACTCAGCGGAGCAGCGCAGCAGCCTGCACAACGCCAGCAGTCAGCCTGCAAACAGTGCCACAAAACCATGATTTTACTGCATCAAGACCTCTTCAGGGAGGGAACATTTGAAGATGGAGAGGACATTTCAAGATGGAGAGGACATTTCAAGATGGAGAGGACGTAACATTTTAAGATGGAGAAACAGCATAAGATTTATCAGTTTGGGTCGTTCACATTATAATTGACTCTTCCATAACTGACTGTTACCCATAAGATAAAGTCACCTGGAAGCAGGAAAGGTGCTGCACCTCCTCCTGCTGAGTTAAGGCAAAGGGAAATGGCCTTGAGAGGTGGCTCCAGCTCTGCCAGACCAGCACTGCAGATGTTCAGCCCTGAGAAACCAACTGCAATGTGAGATCTGAGACTTCCTGTGCTTGTCACGGTGCTGCTTGGTGCAGAGAAGCAGTTTTGCACGCTCACAGTCCCTCGGGTGTCCTAGAGAACCAGGACATCTCCCCATCATAGCAGCTCTACCCCACAGCAGATTCTCTTTTCCCAACTCTTTCTCCAAGATTCCAGCCCTTTTGTATTTCTTTCCATCTCTCCGCAGCCTGCGTCAGTTCAAGACACATCCTCACCTCTCCCAGTCACTCCACTGCATCCTTCCAGTTGGTGGAATCCAGGAGAGACGTAGAGCTTTGCTTGACACGCTGCTTCACAATTTACCAAGGGCTGTGTTAAACACACGTGGAGGAAACTGAGTGAAAAAAAACCCTGAACCATAACACAAAGCTTGTGGTCTCTTGCCAGGATGTTTGGACTAAGAGTGTTTACTGCCAGGGGAGACCTGATGAGGGGGTGCATCATCACCTCTAACTGTGTAGCAGCATCACTGACAACATCTAAGCTAGATCTGCAGATTTTCATTACAGCCAAAGGAGAGCTGGCTGGAGCTTCAAGAACTGCTCATCTGACCAAACGTCACCATTTCCTGTCGAACAAGGGGGATCACAGGCAGACACAGATGACATGAAAAGGCTGAGGAACTTGTTAGTCTGGAGAAGACAAGACTGAGGGGGGATCTGATCAACACCTATAAATACTTAGAGGGTGGGTGTCAAGAGGATGGAGCTGGTCGTTGTTGGGTTGTGCTCAGTGACAGGACAAGAAGGAAGGAGCACAAACTTGAACTTAAGAAGTTCCACCTAAACATGAGGAGGAACTTTTTTACTTTGAGGGTGGCAGAGCCCTGGAAGAGGCTGCCCAAAGAGGTGGTGGAGTCTCCTTCTCTGGAGACATTCAAAACCCACCTGGACGTGTTCCTGTGGGACCTGCTCTGGGTGGACCTGCTTTGGCAGGGGGTTGGACTAGATGATCTCCAGAGATCCCTTCCAACTCCACATGATTGCATGGCTCTCTTGACCCAGAGGGGGAGCCTCCGCTGGGCGACTCTCAGATAAGCTGCTGTTATAGAAATCATACTTAACGCTGTCAATCTTACCAAATACCCACTTTCTGAGCTCAGATTTCCACCAGTGCTGGTTAAACCAGCTGGAGGGACACCAGTGCTACTGGGGAGCACGTCCCACCCATAAAGGAATGGCAGCGCTTGTGGGTAAAGCAAACCCCACTACAAACCCTTCAGACTGCTGAGGCACAACGCTTTATTCCACATGGAACTGGAGGGTGAAGGGCCACAGCTGAAATGACAACGGCACAGCGTCACTTACCATTTGTCACTCTATGCTTGAGCTACAATAAAAGCGTCTTTGTACGGGCACAAGAGTGGTCAGGGCAAAATATTTGAGCTAACCAGTCAGAGAGGTCAATACGAGTTTAATCTGCAAAAAAAAAAAAAAAGTCTCTTCTTCACTGTGGACCCCTGGTTTTCACAAAGTCCTTTACTTTCCAGCCGTCCGTTTCTTTCCTTTCTTCCCCTTCTTTTTAGGGGAGCCAGGCCAGGTAAAGCCCCGAAGCTCCAGGCAGGCGGCGGCATTGTGGCAGACGTAGTAGGCGTTGAGCATGGCAGCTGGGCTGAGGATATCCACTTCCTTCTCCACCTTCTTTGCTTTCTTTTTGGAGCTTTTGTCTTTGCCACGCTTGCTTTTGCCACGCTTGCTTTTGCTACTTTTAACTGCCTGCAGAGAGAAAACGACCACAAAAACATGGTTAGTCCTGCATCTTTATGGTCTCGCTTCTGGGTAGAGGATCCTGAGACATCCCAGAACAGCTGTTTTGTTGCATTTTTAGTCCTGGCTCGCAGTATTAGCTCAGAGCCCCTCACCAGACTCCTGTACTTTGTGGTGATTTTAGATCCGGACTCACAAGCATTAAATACACTTTCACCAAACACAGTATTTGCTCTATAGGCTGCAAGAATCTGTAATGTCATCAGACGTGGCTAATTAATGTTCCCCTGTGCTTCTCTCTGGCTAAAAAAACCTGTGCACAATGGAAATAATACATTCTTTTCAACTGATATTTTAATTAATGCGTTATGATAGGACCCTAAAGTAAACCAAGCCAATGTTGTGCGTTCACACACTGCTGTGTGTCTGCTTGTGACTGGATCAGAAACCAGAAGAGCAGGTCTCCCTTCCACAGCTGTGGCCTTCTCAAGGCTCTGTGATGCAGTTGCTCTTCTACTATCAGCAGTAACACAAATCTAAACAGCTCTGCCACAGAATCATTGAATTTTCCAGGTTGGAAGGAACCTTGAAGTTCATCTAGTCCAACCATCAACCTAACTGACAAAAATAGACACCCACACAACAAACAAGGAGCATCATCACTAAACCAGACCTCCCAGCACTACATCAACCCGTCTTTTGAACACCTCCAGGGATGGTGCCTCAACCACAAAACAAAAAACAGGGTTCGTGCAATTAATTACACTTTCAGTGAAAAAATTTTTCCTAATATCACAGAATCACAGAATCTTCTAGGTTGGAAGGGACCTTAAAGATCATCTTGTCCAACCATCAACCTAACTGACAAAAATAGACACCCACACAACAAACAAGGAGCATCATCACTAAACCAGACCTCCCAGCACTACATCAACCCGTCTTTTGAACACCTCCAGGGATGGTGCCTCAACCACCTCCCTGGGCAGCCCATTCCAATGGCTGAGAACCCTTTCAGTGAAAAAATTTTTCCTAATATCCAGCCTGAACCTCCCCTGGTGCAACTTGAGGCCATCTCCTCTTGTCCTACCACCTGTGAATCTATATCTATGTATGATATCTATATCGCCTGCCATTCTCTGTGGAGCCAAGACCCCTAAAATGGGCCAAAAAATGACTCCTGTTAACTCCAGCTGATTAGCGCTGGTGCCCGAACACCCAGCCTCTTGCCTCCAAGAGGGATTTCCCAGTGTCTGGAATTCCCTGGATTGTTTTCTCACCCATCCTGGCCGCTCCTCACAACCAGCCTGGAGCGTGTCTGCGTGGAAGACGCTCCCTCCAGGTCTTGAGCAACAGAAACCGGGTCGGGGACCCGGAAGGATCTCTCATTGCTGCTGTGAGGGCAGGAAAATGGTGATGGCAACATGGAGCCAGAAGGTGGGCAGTGTCCCAGGAATGCTGAGGACAGGAGAAACACCTACTCCCAGAGAAAAGGCTGAACTTATTTGCACATCGTGAGTGACTGAAAGTATTTGATCTCTGGTCGGATGCCAAGAGCACTTTCAGGACACACCGAGTCACTTTATGCATCTGCCCGTCTATTTCTGTTATTTGCCTGGGTTTGCACACTGTAATTAAACAGATCCAAGCACTTCATTAGGAAAAATTAGCACTGAAACAGCCAGAAAGGCCAGATGTAACTATCAGCTGAGAATAAACTAGGGGAAGGCAATATATATATAGCGTATTTTTCATGGTATCAATTCTGAAGAGTCCATTTACAGCTCAGCAGCACAAAAAAGATAAACATTTTTACTCTGAGGTATGAGAACAGTCAGGGGTACAATGAAGAGTCTGTTTACAGCTCAGCAGCACAAAAAAGACAAACATTTTTGCTCTGAGGTATGAGAACAGTCAGGGGTACAATCTGCAAAATCAGCCGCGACCACAATGTGAAGGAATTAAAAAACAACAACAAAAAATTACCCCAAAAGTCACGAGTTCTGTGTAAAACACACAGAACCGCTATCCACGGAAGGAATATGGACAGAGAGAAAACAGAGACCACAAACTGCAGCCGGTGGCAGATTGTTTCCTAAAAGCTTCAGTCGTGCAGACTGCAAAGTACTTGAACTCAAACATGTATTAGAGAAGGCGACAAGCCTTTTTTGCAGACCTTAGTTGGGTAGAATTTGTTGAACACTTCACGTGCTGGAATGTGCACACTTCGCAGAGTAGATGCTTATACCAGATTTTTCAACCACACTCCCCAGTTTACACGCTCCTGACAGGGTCACTGGTGGATCTCCTGAGCACAATTAGGTCAGAATTTGGCCTGTAGCTCATCTTTAAGATAAAAAAGGTGCTTACAGGTAAGGGCAAACTGTTGCCATAAATCTGTGGAAAGAAGCAGGGAATGCCTTTTGGCTGGAGCAGCTTCACCACTCCCGCTGTTCCCCTCGAGCAGATACCTCCGACCTCCAGGCTTTAAATGGTCTCTATCATGGTCAGCAACTGTCTTGGCTTCTGCTTCCCGTCTCTCATGAAACGTGGCATCAGTCAGCTCACACATTAGAATCATAGAATTGTCCGGTTTGGAAGGAACCTTTCAGATCATCAAGTTCAACCATCAACCTAACCCTGACAAAAAACATCACTAGACCTTGTCCCTCAGCACCACATCTGCCCGGCTTTGAAATCCCTCCAGGGATGGTGACTCCACCACTGCCCTGGGCAGCCCATTCCAAGGCTTGATAACCCTTTCAGTATAAACATTTTTCCTAATCTCCAATCTGAACCTCCCCTGGTACAATTTGAGGCCATTTCCTCTTGTCCTGTCACCTGTTCCTTGGGAGAAGAGACCAATTGCCCCCTGGCTACACCCTCCTTTCAGGGAGTTGGAGAGAGCAAGAAGGTCTCCCCTCAGCCTCCTTTTCTCCAGGCTGAACACCCCCAGCTCCCTCAGCTGCTCCTCACAAGACTTGTGCTCCAGATCCCTCACCAGCTCCGTTGCCCTTCTCTGGACCCACTCCAGCCCCTCAATGTCTTTCCTGTGGTGAGGGGCCCAAAACTGGACACAGCACTTGAGGTGGCACCTCACCAGTGCCCAGTCCAGGGGGACGATCACTGCTGTAGTCCTACTCACCACACTACTGCTGATACAGGCCATGCTGGTGGCCTCGATCACTACTCTAGTCCTACTCACCACAGTACTGCTGATACAGGCCATGCTGGTGGCCTTCTAGGCCACCTGGGCACGCTGCTGGCTCATTTCAGCCGGCTGTTGACCAACACCCCCATTTAAGCACAGTCTAGAGCAGGAAGAGTTCCCAAAGTGCAGGAAGCTGTCAGTCTACAGCATGGCATCACAAACACCATCAGAGGTAACACCATGTGCGTGCACATACAGCAGTGGCAGAGCCAACACTCGGCCCACTGGCTGGCAACTCTGGAATTCCTCACGGATTTATCAGGCCACCAAAGGACATGTGATGCTGAACAGCTCTTTTTAGGTATGTTCAGGCAGGACTTGCACAGATCAAACTTCCTACAATGGTCTCACTAAGTTTTTCAACTACAGCCCAGCGTGACAGCTGAACACTCTTTAAAAGTATCAGGAAATCCATGTTTGTGCAGTATTTTCATCCACCCACAAGCAATACGATTTGAGGCTTTATAAGACATATGAAAACTTTACAGCCTGTTGTTGAGAACAATAAGAAAAGCTAAAAATCAGAATCAGGTGCACACTTGCACACAACGTGAATTTGGGCAGGTCAGATTGTCCTGCAGCCTTGAGAAGGAACATTTTGGTTATTAACCCCATTTAACTCCTTAAAACGGTATCAATACACTTGAAAAGAATCAAACCTGCATTACCATGGCTATATCCTTTTACTGAGCAGAGGGACTCCACGTCAAGCCCTGAAAGTAACACTGTGTGCGTGCATATACAGCAGTGGCAGAGCCAACACTTGGCCCACCAGCTGGCAACCCTGGGATTCCTCACGGATTTATCAGGCCACCAAAGGACATGTGATGCTGAACAGCTCTTTTTAGGTATGTTCAGGCAGGACTTGCACAGATCAAACTTCCTACAATGGTCTCACTAAGTTTTTCAACTACAGCCCAGCGTGACAGCTGAACACTCTTTAAAAGTATCAGGAAATCCATGTTTGTGCAGTATTTTCATCCACCCACAAGCAATATGATTTGAGGCTTTATAAGACATATGAAAACTTTACAGCCTGTTGTTGAGAACAATAAGAAAAGCTAAAAATCAGAATCAGGTGCACACTTGCACACAACGTGAATTTGGGCAGGTCAGATTGTCCTGCAGCCTTGAGAAGGAACATTTTGGTTATTAACCCCATTTAACTCCTTAAAACGGTATCAATACACTTGAAAAGAATCAAACCTGCATTACCATGGCTATATCCTTTTACTGAGCAGAGGGACTCCACGTCAAGCCCTGAAGACAGACCCTGCAACACACAATCATGCAGTGGGTTACACACTGTTCCTTACAGTTGAGGCAGGGATGAAAATTGAAAAAAAAAAAACAAAACAAAAAACAGGGGAAATTAGGTGACTGCAAAAACAGGTCAAGGTGTGCTGTACCTAAAATGGCTTCTTTGCAGACAATCACCCCTGAAGTAATCCACAAATTCTACCAGATTCCAGGATTCTCAGCTTTTCAGCAAAGTCCTCGAGATGTCCTCTAACACCACAAGACTAGACAGGGAGAAAAAAGAAAAACCTGAACCTCAACTTGGTGTCAGTGACTGATTATGGCAGTGCGGCCAGACTGCTCCAAGCCCACCTCACCCACCTGGCCCCATCCCTGCTTGCAAGACACCCCTGGTAGCATCGGCAGGACCTCACCTCCCTGTCCCCACAGGAGGGGCTGAAGAAACAAAGTTGTGGAGAGCTTGCCAAGTGCAAGGTCCTGCACCTGGGTCATGGCAACCCCAAGCACAACTACAGGCTGGGTGAAGAATGGCTGGAGAGCAGCCCTGAGGAGAAGGACTTTATACAAGGTCCTGCACCTGGGTCATGGCAACCGCAACCACAACTACAAGCTGGGTGGAGAATGGCTGGAGAGCAGCCCTGAGGAGAAGGACTTGAGGGTGTTGGGTGATGAGAAGCTCCACAAGAGCCAGCAACTGGTGCTGGTGGCCCAGAAAGCCCCCCGTGTCCTGCACACAGGCTGGCAACTGGTGCTGGTGGCCCAGAAACCCCTGGTGTCCTGGGCTTCATCCCCAGCAGCGTGGCCAGCAGGGCAAGAGGGGCGATTCTGCCCCTCTGCTCCACTCTGGGGATACCCCTCCGCAATGCTGCCTCCAGCTCTGGGGCCACCAACATCAGAAGGACATGGAGCTGTTGGAGCAGGGCCAGAGGAGGCCACAGAGATGCTGGGAGCACAGGTTGAGAGAGTTGGGGGGGTTCAGCCTGGAGAAGGCTCCGAGGAGACCTTGGAGCCCCTTCCAGTCCCTAAAGGGGCTCCAGGAGAGATGGGGGGGAATCTTGATGAGGGAGGGGAGCCCTAGGAGGAAGGGGAAGGGTTTGAGACTGGAAGAGGGGAGATGGAGATGAGCTGTGGGGAAGAACTTGTTTGGTGTGAGGGTGGTGAGAGCCTGGCCCAGGTTGGCCAGAGAAGCTGTGGCTGCCCCATCCCTGGAGGGGTTCAAGGGCAGGTTGGAGGGGGCTTGGAGCAACCTGCTCTGGTGGGAGGCGTCCCCGCCCAGGGCAGGAGGGGTTAGAACTATATAGTCTTTAAGGTCCCTTGATAGAATCATGGTTTGGTCCCCCAAAACTATTCCATGATCCCCTCACACTCCCAGCGTGAAAAGTCAACGATTTCTCCACAGCCTCCCCCCGCCCAGACCCTCCGGTCGGCAAAAACCAGCCCGTCCCGCTCCAGAAATAAAACCACAGCGCTTAAGCGCAGCCCACCAGAGCCCTCCCCTCTGCCTGCGGCGGGTGCGAGTCCCGGGTGCCGGTGCCGGTCTCCCCTGAGGGCCGCCACAGACGCGGCCTCCCCTCCGTTACCTCCCGCGTTGCCATGGCACCCACCTCCGCCTCCCCAGCCAACGCACGCGCACTGGAAGAGCGGGAAGGCCGTGAGGGGCGGGGTTTTGCCACCGACGCACCGCCCCTCGCCCAATCAGCTGTCGGGGCGGGGGGGGGGGAGAGGGGGGCCGCGCGCCGCCCGCGACCGTTGCGGTTCAACGGCCGCCTGAGGAAAAGGGCGGGAAGGGCTTTTCCGGGGCTGAGGGGAGCTGAGGGAGAAACAAAGCACAAAAGGGGCCTGCCGCACCCACGGCGTAAAATACCGGCGAAATGGTCGCCACAGCGGCTTAGAGCTGAGAGGGGGAGGGAAGGAAGTTGTGCTTTTTAAAGATGATGGGGAAAGATTGGTGTTCGGGAGCCTGTTAAGTGAATATTGGCGTTATTTGCGGGCCACAAGGCCTGGGGTTGGGAGATGTGACGCCACGGCTTCCTGCCCCTGCTGAGGGAGGTGCGGCTCACACCTTCATCTTCTGGTACTGTAGTGTGAAAATGGGGGGTTTTCTCTTTGTTTAACTGCCTGACCCAGCTGCCTGTGCCACAGGAAGATTTCTACAAACAGCCTCTGATTTTGGCTCCTTTGAGAGGCAGGGTTTCAAACAGCAGGCACCAAATACCTACGTGTAATAATGTTCGTGAGTTTTCATGAAATCCCCATGCAATGACTAAAATTAAGCCAAAGTCTGAGGCCCAGGGGAGGTGAAGGGTTCAGATGGAGGAGCAGGCAGCTGAGGGCTCCATTTCATCCCCTTTTTAGAGACATTAGGTTTTTTTCACAACCATAATAACCATTTTTCGAAAGGATGGGAGACAGGTGTCTCTTTGCGCCCCTCAGGGCCAGGCTTACACTGGAAAAGTGCTAAAAATCAAAAAGCACAAGTGAAAAATAGCAGTAGGAGCTCTACCACCTCATAGAAAAAACTAACTCATAATTCTACTATTGTCAAACCCCAACATGTCAATGATTTTATTTTTCTCTCAGGCATTAATCTCTCTAAATCTGCTTTCTGGTACGCCTGTAGGATGCACTTCATTATGTTTTTGAAGCTCTTCTTCCAAATCTTGACAGGTAGGAGCTTGGAGAGGTTTTTATTTTAGTGTGATTTCCTAAGGAAACAGAGCTTCCCCTGGCACACGGGCCACCCCTCAGGGTGTCTGCAACAACTTTCTGAGCCGCTTGGCCCATTCCAACCAATATTGACACAGGAGTAAGAGTTCAAATATATTAATTTCCTACCTGTTTCATGAAAATCATCAGCTGCGCAGAGTGTGGGAGAGAGAACACAGTTAATCTCTGCTGAAGAAACATCAACCCACCTCAGCCTGTCTCTGGGTTGTTGGGCAGAGGCATGTGCTGCCATCGTGGTGGGGAGGATGGAGTGGTATTTCAGGGCAGTGGGAAAACAGCTTTGTTTCAGAACGATTAATTTTCACAAAAATAAGAATTCTCTGAATTAGGGGTGGTGGAAGACTATAAAATAAGTTTCAAATATCAGAAAGGCTCATCATTTTAATACAATGGTTAAGAACTGAAGACCAACGTGTAATTTCTTTTTTTTAAAAAGTACTATTGGGAATAGTAACTTTTTAATTTCCCTATTCAACATAACATCTCTGCAGCCTTTGTTTTCTCCCCTGGTATGAAGTTTCTACGTATTATTGTCTGCTCTGTACAGACATTTAAATAAATTGGCATTGGAAGGGACGGTGGGTAGAGGCCTGCAAACCTGATTCACAAAAATATCCAACCGTCTTTCCCGCTCTTCCTGGCAGCTACAGAGATTGTTGGGTTTATTACAACTTCCATCTTGTGGAATTATAATGATTAACGAGCTTTCACCGGTTGCTTTGGACGCTGTGAAGTGATGCAGTGGTTAGAAGGTATGTGGACTCTGTAAAGAAGCTTTTTTAATACTGATAGAAGAGTGAATATATTTGGCTACGAATGTACACGTAACTGAAGGGGAACAGAACAACTCTGCAGTGGTGGAAACGTTTGCAGGGGCAGTATTTCAGCATGCAAATAGAAATGGACGTAGAAAATAAGCCAGAAACCAGTGACTGAGCAGACTAAAATGCTGTTTAACGAAGAATGATCAGAAGAACTCCCAGAAACAAGGACAAAAGAAGAGATGAGAACAACGAAGAAAAGAGCTCAATAAAACATGGAGAGAAATAAAGGTGTCAGTGGAGGAAGGGAAGAAGGTCATCAGGAAGAAATGTTTGAAGGAAAATCATTATCTCTGGGTGTAGATTAGATATCAAAAGGCGGCCAAACGGCAACAGCAAAGTGCACCAGGTGATGGCTGGAGGAGGAGCTAGGGAATAGAGAAAGCAAAGAGCAAAGGCACTCCTTGGTGAAGTACCTGTCTAATGATTATTTCTTTTATCAAGAGGGAAAGTTGAGCGCAGGTTGGATGGAGAAATGAGACCAGGAAACTTTGGAAATAATATCATTTGGGTGGTTCACCCCCCATCGTGGATGTCGGTGGAGGACGAGATGCTGCCAAGGAGGATGTTTTGAAAAGCAGTTTGGAAAACGCAGTGGAAACCATTAGTCTTATGTGCCTTCAGCAGCAAGGGATTGAGCTAATGGAAAACACCATTTTATCTTTCCAAAGTAATGCATCTGAGTGCCTTGACCAGCTGAATGCCATTACCATGAATACGGAATCACCCCATCGTGGATGTCGGTGGAGGACGAGATGCTGCCAAGGAGGATGTTTTGAAAAGCAGTTTGGAAAACGCAGTGGAAACCATTAGTCTTATGTGCCTTCAGCAGCAAGGGATTGAGCTAATGGAAAACACCATTTTATCTTTCCAAAGTAATGCATCTGAGTGCCTTGACCAGCTGAATGCCATTACCATGAATACGGAATCACGGAATTGTTGGAGTTGGAAGGGATCTCTAGAGATCCTCCAGTCCAACTCCCCTGCTAAAGCAGGGTTGCCCAGAGCACATCACTCAGGAGCATCCAGGTGGGTCTTGAAGATCTCCAGAGAAGGGGACTCCACACCCTCCCTGGGCAGCCTGTGCCAGGGCTCTGCCACCCTCACCCCAAAGAAGTTTTTCCTCACATTAGAGTGGAACTTCCCGTGGTCCAGCTTGTGCCCATTGCCCCTCGTCCTGTCACTGGGAACCACTGAAAAGAGTCCGGCTCCATCCTCCTTCAACCCTCCCTTTACATACCTGTCAGCATTAATAAGGTCTCCCCTCAGCCTTCTCTTCTCCAGGCTAAAGAGCCCCAGCTCTCTCAGCCTTTCCTCATCAGGGAGATGTTCCAATCCCTCCATCACCTTTGTTGCCCCACGCTGGACTCTCTCCACCAGTTCCCTGTCTCTCTTGAACTGGGGAGCCCAGAACTGGATGCAGGATTCCAGTTGTGGCCTCACCAGAATACGATGCTGACCTTCTCCATGAATACGATGCAAAACTTCTCTAGTGTAATCTTACAAGTTACATGTTTTCAAGAACAAGTGATCAGACATTCAGCGTAGAAAACACACTTCTCCAATTTTCTTACTTATCACGGATATTTTGTTTTCTCTAGAAAATACCAGCCTTTTTGCTCTCCTCCCGTTGCCACGAGTAGGATCCAGGAGAACATGCTCTTCAGAGGGAATTGCTTTCTGCTGAGTGGGGAGTATCAAGCTTCACTGAGGCTAATGAACCTGGTATTGCTCTTCTGCTCAGACTAAATGCAGCTCAGCTTCCTTGTGTTCAGCAGTGAAGGAAAAGGAGGGATACTGTTACCCTGTCTCACAGGCCATCGTCAGGGTGACGAGGAGGGTGAATTACAGAGTAAAGAGGGTTCCTTGCCATTTGAAAAGGTGCAGGGCCTTGGTCTCTGGCTGTTCTAGGCACGTCTGTGGTTTGAGTCGTGTTTTCAATGGCTAAATTTACTAAAGCAGCTCCTATTCTTCCTTTTCTCTGGCCATCCTCAGGGTGACGAGGAGGGTGAATTACAGAGTAAAGAGGGTTCCTTGCCATTTGAAAAGGTGCAGGGCCTTGGTCTCTGGCTGTTCTAGGCACGTCTGTGGTTTGAGTCGTGTTTTCAATGGCTAAATTTACTAAAGCAGCTCCTATTCTTCCTTTTCTCTCTCTTAAGAGGACATGGGTAACTGAATCAGTTAGTTATTTGAGATTAAAATAGCCCTGCCAAGGAGAACTTTCACTGCTAAGGAAAATCTCAGAGGAATCCTGGTCACAAGCAGCCAAAAAAGACGGCAGAAGAAGGAAAAGAACCAGAGAGGAGAGGGAAAGTCTCGGTTGCAGAGCTCAGAAAGAAGGTCTGCAGATTTTTTCTCTTTTGAATGAGTCTTGGGATGGATAATGAAAGAAAGAATGAAAAAAAATAATCTGATTTTTACTGTGTTGACGGAAAAATAATTCTGCGTAATTATTATTAACAAACCACACAGCATAAAAGAAGTGATCATAATTATACTCATTATCTCCTTTTAGCAAAAACAACTGGCAAGAGACCACGTTTTAATAACTATTGAGGCTAAAAAGAAGTAACAGTAGTGACAAGCGCGCCTGAAATACTAGATTGAGGAGACAAAAATTACCCTGTGCAGTCAACTGTTGTGTTTTGTGAAGCTGCTTGGACAAAACAAGCTGCTGTTTACACACGCAAGGCTTTTGATAAATAATTAAAGGAAGTTTCTGCAAACTGAGAGCATAATAAACCTGGCCTCATAAAGTCAGCGCTGTAGTTACAACTGGATAAATAAAGAGTGCTCCAACTCTGGCAGCTGTCAGGCCAGGATACCTCAGTGTCATTATTTTTTTACTGAAATATTCACATATAAAAAAATGGAGGGATATTACCTTATGGTCCTTTTCACAGAGAGAGAAGAAAATGAATGACGACTGAGAAGTGTGTGTTGGGGGAAAAACATAATGTTTTATATTCCTTACTTCAGTAATAGGATCATTCTGTACCCAGCTGCCAACTTTCACAGCTCTGAAAGGAACTTGGTATCTTTGAGGCCTTTTATCCTTCACTCAAATTTGCATGAAATTAG